CCGCCGCGCCCGGCGCGAAAGCAGCACGACCCACCCCGCTCCGGCCCCGCACCGCCCACAGGCCGCCGAGAGGAGGACGGCCACGCCGGCCACGGCCCGTCCCCCCCCCCGCCGCCAAACACCGAGCAACCCTCCACTCCCAAGCCGCGCACGATGCACCGCACCACGCGTCACCGGCACCCGCCCCAACAGAGCGAAGCCACACCCCGACCCGGGGGCACTCCAAAGGGACCCCCGACGCCCGCAACCCGCCCACAACAGACACACACGAACCCCGGCCACAGGCGCGACCACCCACGCCCCCCCCGGACGACGCAACCACGGCAAGCACCACGGCCAACCACCGAAACCCGGCACCGGAAGACGAGGCACGCCCCGACGCCCCGCAGAGCAGAAGCACCCCGGCCAGCACCACAAAAGAACCGATGCCCGGCGCCCAGCCCCACCCAGCAGCAGCACAGCCACCAGGCCAGTAGCCCACGTCCGCCACCACGGAACCCCCCAAGAGCACCGCACGCGGCCGCCGCAGGACCCCCCCCGCGGCGCCCCAGACCCCGCCCCGACGGGGGCAACAGTCCCCCGGGCCAGACCCGCCAGGCACCCCGCTCCGAGCACCCCCCCGAGCCCCCAGGACCCAAGGACCCCCGAACTAGCCCCCGCGCCCCACAAGACGCACCCCATAGCCCCCCACTACACTAAGTGATGGAGCCGATCAAGGGAGCCTGTTACTTCTGTGCGATGATGAAAGCTAACAACATTTTATTATTAATCAGTTTATAATTGTTTATTACACTGCATTGAACTTCCCCCTGCGTATTCATAATATGTTAATTACTTCGAATTGTCCACCTACTGAAATGTGCTATATAAATAAACTAACCTTACCTTGCCTAACAAATGTATTTTTACATTTCTTAAGTGCCATCTCACTTCTAACTTGGTGCCTTGTTGTCGGGGACACGTTGAAATAACAAATGAAGAACAATAACTATCCAAATGTGTCCATCTCATGTTTTCTCTCAGAATTTCTCAGTTGAAACAAATCCTTTTAAAAGTGGATTTGTTGGCCAAAGAACAAGTTTTTGCGCACACACACCTTACTTATATTTAATTAGATTTTATTGGCAAATGACACAGCCTGATTAAAAAGTTGAAATGTACCTGACTTCCTTCTTGATAGCTTGTCATCATTTGTCAGCACTTGGCAGCACAATGTAATATCTTCTGTGAACTAATAACTGGATTTTAATTATGCCTTGGTAAAAAGAGAAGCATTTTTATGCAATATTGATTTATCTTTCAGTTGCTCTGGCACGATCATTGAAAATGATTGATTTGTTTTGTGTTACTTTCATGTCAAAACTGGACTGGAGTCTGAAAAAAAGATCACATATGTCTACTGTTCAACCAATAACAGCTTAAATTAAATCTGTCTGTCTGTGAATTGATGCAAAGCTGTGGAGTTTAAATGAACACTGCCTCCACCAGTCTTATAACCTCTGTGAAACGTAGAAATAGAATAAAGGAAACTCGCATCTGTTGAAAGGGGAAAAATGCTTAGGCTGTCTCCTTCCAGAATCAAGAATAATGGAAAAAGGGGGGGGGGGGCTGAGTAGGGGGCAGGTGCTGGTATTGGGAAGAGGGTGGGCGGTGTTTGGTGATCCTGGCTGGAGAGGAAAATGGAATGTGGGGCTCCTCAAAATGTGCTGGAATGTTTAGAGCAGTTGAGGATAATTGAGTGAATCTGGAACAAGAAAAGACAAACCGAGATCTCGCGGTGGAAAAAAAGTGCTTCTGGGATGTCTGAACAAAACATTCCATCCATTCAGACAGCTTCGCCAGGCCCAGAACCTTCCTTAGATGGCACTGTAGGGAATAGAAACCCCAGCCTGTTCACCATTCCTCCCATACTTGCCCTACACTTCACACAAGCAGAAAGACCCTTTTGATATTCTTTGCCCTTGAAGTTTGTGTGTTTTCTACATAAAGCCTCCCAGTAGGAATGCTTTTAAACACAGAGTTCAAGATGGTGCTGTGCTCTTATCTTTTTTGTTTTAAAAGGAATTTCATTGAAAATGGCTGGAATAATGAAAATCAATGCTGCTGCAATAAGGTTAGGTTATGTTTGTTTTTTATCAACAGTCAAAGCATTACTTGCTTTATTCACTTTAGCATGTGACTATATTAAGTTGATCAAACTGAACCTCCACCTTAAATTATGGAGTTTTCTAATGATACTGCCACCTGTGGCCAAAAGACAGAACTGCAGCTTAGCACTCGCGCTAATTCTTTTTTACTTTTTCACCTTACCTGGAGTTGCCATTGGTGTCTGAGAAGAGGTTGCAGGTTGCTTCTTAGTATCAACAAAATCCATCTTGAATTTAACGCTTTCATTGTTTGCCAGGTCAAGGTAAGATAAGGTAAGGTTACCATATCAAACAATGTTTTAGTCGTAAAGGGTCAAATAAAAAAAGCTATTTTAAAGATATTCTTCAGTAAAAATTTACAAAATGTCTCTTCAAGTCTTCTGCAATCTCTAGCATGTTTTCTTTAAAAGTTATTCTCACAGCATGATTCAGCCACCACCATGTTTCAAGCTGAGAATGGTGTGTATGGGATGATGTTTAGCGTTTCTGGTGTCATTCAAGTGAATTTTGGTGTGTTTTTGCCCAGACAACATCATAGAGTACCCTTTTATCCATAACGGCTTTATTATTTGCATGAATGCCAAATAGATGCCCAAATAAGAGACATTATCATCTAAGTCCGGTATGTAAAAAGCTCCCAAGTTACCATGGGCTTCTTGTTAGCTACTGTAATAACGCCCAGGTTTGTTTGCCATTATGTATTACTTATACCGGAGGTCTTCAACAGGGGGTCCGTGACCCCTAGGGGGTCCACGGAGGTTCTGCATGGGGGTAGCGAAAGTTTTGGTTGATTAGACTTTTTTTTATTTCCCCCTGCAATTTTTTCCACTCATTGAAATGTTTTTAGATCCACATTAACATGAATTCAACACACTGTAGTAGACAGATAAATGGAGGCAGAAGATGTCTTTCAGTCATCTATGCACACATTCAGAGACACACACACTGCAAAAACTGTTTATCTAATTTAGTAATTATTTCTTAAAATAAGTGGATTTCTTCTTAAATTGAGCAGACACTTTGCCAATGGAATAAGACCATTAACATTTAAAATAAGAAAAAACAACTGAAGTCTCTTATTTCAAGGGCATAATATCTAATCATCTTATTTCAAGGGTAAAAATGCTCATTCCATTTGCAGATCATTTTATTTTCCGGCTTAAATTGAGGGTGAATACACTTATTTTAAAACATTTTTACTCATTTGTAGAATGTTTTTGCAGTGCAGGAGCTCTTTCAAGCTGGGAACCGATTCATTCACAACACCTGACCCTCAAAAATGTATTGTGTAATAGAGAACACGTCATAAGCAAATAACAGCACTAAGACAGTTATCCAGAAATACTAAATATATGCAGTCAGATAACCCTTACGAAGGTTGCCTTTCCAATCACACCATCAAAGAAATATGGAAAAAGTTACCCAATAGAATTATAGATTGTAAATCCAACTTACTTTGTATTTAGAGTGAATTGAGTGAAACTTTTTTGCATTGTTTAAAACTGACCAATATAATTTCAGAGTGACTCTTCATAAGCTAAAGTCTGTCCCTGATTGATGATTCAAGTTAAATTAACTTGTAATATGCGTTCAGTGGCACATTTTACTGAAATGTGAACATTTTACTTTTCTGACACATGATTTCAGGAACTGTTGTTGCTCCAACTTTAACTTCTAAATGTGAAATCAGCCCAAATCTTAGAAACCCGGATGTTCCTAAACATTTCTAAATAAGTCAGTTGGATAGAAACCAAATAAAAACCCACCTGGCAACATCGGTTATGATTATTTTGAATTTTTCTTTTAGATAAACACAGATTCAAATAATCTTTTATAATTAGCTACTTTAAACTTCTCAACAACTTTACCTGTAACTTGTTTGATGTCTTCTTTAGCTTTGATGTTTGCTCTCTAATCCTTTTTATGTGTGATAGAGGTAAGAAATCAAAAATTCAAGAGATATAAATACTTGCAATATTGCAAAAAAACTTTGAATAGCATTTAGAATGAGTATTTCTGGAAGAGTTTTGGCTTATCATTCTTAATTTAAGTTGTAATAAAGACCCCAATAATAGCAATTAAGCCCAATATCATTATTATGTCTGGCAGATTTGGATTCAAATCTGTTTCCAATAAATCGAGACATTTGTTGCTGATAGGAAACCAGACAGACGTCTCCCAGAGGACAACAGAACAATGTAAAAGGGCAGACAGATTAAAAAAATATGTGGTTTAGGTTTGTTCCATATTTTAATAACAAAGAGCATTTTTTTTTTAACAACTTTCTTAAGGAGCTTTAGAAATGTCTTTATTGGCATTACATCAATGAAATGACTGGGACTAGGATTCTGCATGTTTCCTTTAGGATTTTGGCCAAAAGTCCAAAAGCTTTGGTTTTTTTCAGTCATGATCATTTTAAGATCTCCCCATCGATTCTCAATCAAAGCCAAATCAGTTCTTGGGTTGAGCTACTGCAAATTTTTAGATTAAGTGAGAAGAAGCATATTGATATATTTACAAGATTGAGAATCCCCTTGAAAATTTATGGAATGAATAATTTCTGCATAACTTTTTATTCACTTTACTGCTTATTTGGTCCATTTCAAATCCATAGAAAGCTTTTTGCCTAAACTTTAAATATGTATCAAGATTTTATATTTTCTTTTAGTAAATAATAATAAAATGCACAATTATTTTATAAACTGCATTCTACTATACATATATAAAAAAAGCTTGCAGTCCTTTGATTCTTGGGCCTGCCATGCTGTCCTGAACCAGCATGAAGCTGATGGATCCATCAGCTTTCTGCCTGTTTCTGTCACTTGTTGGACTGATTGCCCCTCAGTGCTGACAGCCTCGTCGCGCTGCACGTGATGATCGGCGCGCGTCACCGAAAACTGTCGCTCTCCCAGAGACTGGAGCTCGGCTCACTCACTGTGTGTTGCAGGCTGTTGTAAATAAAGAATAAAACCCTACAAACTTACAGAGAAAATAAGCAAGACAGGTAGCATTGCGTACACAGGGGTGTTTTTTTTTTCTTATTCACTCGCTGAATTGTCTCTTAGGGTGTTTTTTTCTTTTTTTCTCCCCTAAGATTTGTGAGTGCTTAGGAGAAAAAGGGGGAAGCGAAAACATGGCTGGTTTGATGGCAGGTTTTGGTCACTACACCCATGCGATCGTCCGGGGAATCCCTGCGTCCCTGGCCAAAGAGGCGCTCAGGAGCAGCCAGGCGGAGGTGGACCTGACTAAGGCGCGGACGGAACACGAGGCGTATGTGGAGGTGCTGCGGGAGAGGCTCGGGCTGGAGGTGGTGGAGCTGCCCGCGGACGAGTCGCTCCCGGACTGCGTGTTCGTGGAGGACGCGGCTGTGGTGTGCGGCGAGACGGCGCTCATCACCAGACCTGGGGCGGAGAGCAGGAGGAGAGAGGTAAGGGATACATCAGTGTCAATCAACACGCCCAAAATAAAACCATTATATATAGAAAAGTTTGATGGAGGCTTGAAGGGAAATGGTTCCTCCCTCTTCCCATCATGGTTTCCAGGGATGCAATCAGTTGGTAACAGGGATGTACAGGATACAGCACACATAGGTACATAAAGTACCTGTGTGTGCTTTATTTGCATCAAAACTTCACAATGTGCAAAAATCCACAGGATGACAACAGTTCAGCTTATAAATATAGAACTTACCTGCAGTGTGTTGATCACTGTTATATTCATATATGCATCAAGTGTCAATAAGTTTTTATTATTTTTTTCCATTTCATTTGTAACTTCTGAGATTTTTCTTGTGATCGACATTTAATAAGGATGTTTTAAGGCTTCATGACAGATGTTGCCTTATAACTTACAATATTTGCTGGAGCACCTTCAGATATACATTGGGAAAATCAAAGCACCTTCCTGGATATGACAGAATGTTACATTATCAGGAAAACAAACAATTTATTGTGCAACTGTAATGAGCTGCATTGTGGTGTAGCTATTCATGTGTGAGAATATGACTGCAAGGGAAACGGTTGGACAGATTCTGTGAAAGCCCCCCTGTCATTCCACATCAGTCACTTTACTTGGCTCACTGGGGATAATGGTCCCTCAGCCTCACTGACGACAGAGATATTGATCACAAAGCTTAGTGCTCATCCCCTCAACGTTTCAAATATGACGCAGGTGTTACCAGTTAGGTTTGCACTGTATGAGTGCCCACCAGCTGCACTTCCATAAGGATATTCTGTGCATGCTTTTTGTACATGAATATCACTGCAATGGTTATGTTCTTTACCCTTATTGCATAATAGGCCAAAATACAAAATCTTTGCATTCGGCATATCTATTTATGTGCAAGTGGTCTTTAGAAAGAAGATTTGAAGCAAAGTTATCTATTTAATGTGCTAGCAATTATATTTTTGCATTAAAGTAAATTTAAATACTCTTAAATCCAAATAGATACAAATTAAATATTTCAGAACTGGAAATAGCTGCAAGTTTGCCTCATAAGCATTAAACCAGATGCATAGTATTTATTAAAACTGTACAATACAGTAATTTATTTGTTTATTTTTTTTTAACTTTGACACTTATTCTGTTATTTTTATACACTTTTTAAGCTCCACATCTGTGCGACCGCTTTTGCTATAATCCTTTGCTGCTGTAACACCACAATATCCCTAGTGTGGAACAATAAAGGGATTTTCTATTCTATTCTATTCTATTCTATTCTATTCTATTCTATTCTATTCTATTCTATTCTATTCTATTCTATTCTTGGACTTGATTATAAGTCATTGGTTTTCATTTCAACTGTTTACAAGTGTTTTCAACCCCAGTGTAGTTCAGTACTTGTCTCCAATTTGTTGCAGCTATTTCCCCAGATAGACATGTAGCGCAGTGTTGAGAACTGTCTGTTCTTGTTCTTTACATAACATTAGGTCACAACTATGATTGAACCCCTGCAGGCATTAATGCTGTACTGCTTGGGATCGGTTGCTAGGTTAATGAAAAACAGAGTATTTATTGATCAATGTCATCGAATGGGAAGGCTTTTTGTGATTTAAGAGAAATTATTAACTTTGTCCAGATCCTGCAAACTGTCTGTGAGGAGAAAAATGGTTAACTCCTTGCTTTGATCTCATAGAGAGCAGATGTTGCTTTGTGGGAGGAATTATGTAGGAAACATGATGTGTGCTTGTCTAAGTTGGAAAACAAAATGCATTTTGACTCGCTGTTGATTAGATTTTTTTTACATCTCCAAGCTTAATTTTATCTGATTATCATGTAATAATATAGCAAAGTCATTTCAAGGTAAAATTAATGAGTCTATTGAGTAACTATTTCAATAAGATACTTCCCGTCCTCCTCTCTGTTCTTGGAAGTGTAAAATCACAACTTCCATAATGAGGCCTATGCATTATAGATTTTTAATTTGTACCGTTAAATTAGATATAAATGTTCTCGGGCATTGATGCCACTATCATCTTAAATGCATGTTTATATTACATTTTCCCGGATTTATTTTTTTGTGTGCCTTTCATGGTTGATATTATTTCCCTAATTTTAATCTTTAATCCTTGTCAAGAAGTCTGGAAAATAATAGAAGACCTTCTTTGCCCTCCATATTTAACAAGTCCATATCCACATTTAGAAAACGCTTTGAGCTGGAGTTTGACATGCCTGTGATTTATGCCAGGCTAAGGTGTAATGAGAGATTGAAATTAACCTGAGGCTGATACTGCAGGCTGCAGAACTGAGCTCCTTTATAGCCAGTACACCTCTTACAAATAAACCACTGTGGCTGCTTATAATAAGAATCTATTCATTTTAGTATTTAAGAAAATCTCTGTGGTTCTCCCTTAAAGTATTTGGTTGTACATGTGGACTACAACATTGCTATCGCTTAATACTGTGGTTCCAAAATGCACATTTTGTTTATTTAGTTTTTTGTTAGTATTCTAAGCAGCTTGCCATAGTGGCCGTATGGCAAATTTGTTTTGTAAAAAAAAAAAAAAAGGCGCCTAACTATTTAGTCACAAAATGCCAACAGTCTTGCTGATATATGAGAATCAGGCACATATATTTAATTGGAAAATAATTATTAATTAAATGTTGTGAATTGTTTTGGGAATTCTTCAAATAAGTTGTTTTACAGACTGCAAAAATAAGTTTTTCTCTACTTTTTTTCTTAAACTAAGTGCATGTTTATAAATTGAACTAAGTAAGATACTTTGCTTGTGGACTAAGAAAATTCACATCCAAATTAACTAAAAGCAATTGCATTGTCTTACTTCAAGTGCACAAAATATAATTATCTTATTTTAAGAGTAAAGATACTTATTCCACTGGCAGATCATTTTATTTATCTACTCAAATTAAGGGTTAATACGCTTATTTTAAGAAATGTGTACTTATTTCTAAATGTCATCTTCATAGCTGTTTGGAGCAAACATTTTCTGTAGCAGTCTGTCTTACAGGAAAACTTGAGAATCGCTAAGGTCACTTAATGTATGACAGTCTAATAAAGACATTTATCACTGTTGTCCCTAATGCTCTTTATTTTATAAATAATCTTTTTTTGTGAAAGGATCTCCTGAGGTTCTAGAGGACTTCTAGAGACTTCTTCTTAAGGAGCCTGAGCTTCTTAAAGTCGATTATAGTACTGATGCTGCTGCACTAACAGATAATGGCAGAGGAGATAGCGCTTTCTACAACAGAATTCTAAAAAAAATACAGCATCTTGCTGTAAACACTGGTGTACTTAAGCCTTATATCCTTTAGTATGTGTTGCATGGAGAAAATGATTATAAATTCCAAGAAAATGTGAAGCTTTGCTGGATTTCTGCTGTGTGAGATTAACACCGTAAAAGCTTAATAGTAACTCTAATCATTGTACCATTGAGGATGCCATGGGGTATGCTTTTTATGTTTCAGCGGCATCACAACAAACTGATCCAACATGGATGTGAATCCAATGATGAAATAGTCAGGAGGTTTAGGTTGTTAATCAGCTAAACAAATGATTTTGTGAGCCTGAGAGGAGACAAAGTAGGATGAGGTAAAGGAAAGAGCATTGGGAAGTTAGGGCAAAGCAAAAGAAGACAGTCAGACAAGACAGTCAGTGGTAATGAAACTGTTTTTTCCCTGAAAATTGTTGGCACTGAGATGTTGTCATGGATCTTCAGCGCTCTAAAAATGTGGCCATAAATTTCGCTCTTCTAGGTTGCATCAATGAAGGAAATATGTGCTCTGCTGGTATTTCACCTGAAGGTGGTTGCATCTATCATTTCTTCCTTCCATTCTCTGATGAAGCCTCATTCAAGTTTGGGTGATTTAAAACCTCAGCTTTTTCAATACTGTCACAGCATGTAACTCAGCATAATGTCCTTATCTGAACAATAAAAATAGACAGTGTGTTATAAAGCAAAGAAAAAAAAGGTATTTAATTGTAACAATCTTAAAAAAACTAATCTTTAATGTTTTCTTCCATTTTTTTGCATCACTTCGCTTCAAAAGGTTATCTTCTTTTTATGAATTTGCATTCTAACTGTATTTAGCCAATTTGACTTAGAAATGAGGGAAGACATTCAGGCTCCAGGGTTAAAACAAAACTCTGCCATAATCATTAAGGCAAAATATAAAAAGGCATAAATTGTAGGAAAAGAATGTTAGGTTGTAAGAGGATTAACTGAAAGGTTCCTTAGAAGTGATAGAGTGAATATGAGTGTTCTTACATAAAAGAACTGCAGAAATGTATTGGCCTAAGACAGCCTTATAAGCAATTTAGAAAATCTTCTTGTGTTAAGAGCTGTTCTCATGCATGAGCAAAAACCCATATAGCAGAGTTCAATTTGTAGTCCACCACAGTCAGTCAACTTGGTTTTTATGCGTGCTTCCATCGATTGCTGGTAAAGTTCAATGAGATACTGACTGGCATGTGCCCTTTAGGTTGATAAGACGCCAGATTTATCTTTGCCAGTGCCATCTCTGGGGATTTACTTTCTGGAAGCTAGAATAGAGAAACAGACGCAGGGGATAACCATGTTATCAGGAGGTAAACATGAAAAATAATACATATGCTTTTAATATATTGTTTCTTCAGGTTGGATCAGCTTGTTTCTTCAGCTTGAATTTTTTTTCTCTCATCCTTATTTGTCAACTACCTAAACATCAACTCCTGTTGTCTTTCGTTTTAAGAAAGAAGTTGGACTCCAATAAATAAATTTAATGTGTTAAAGTGTCAAACCACAGAACTCTGGGGTCCTCCTCTGGGACAGAATCAGCACCTTGGAGATGTTCTGTATGTCTGCTTCTAATAAAACGTTGATCCTAGTGGTTTAGTGACCTATGGTATTATAATGATCGACTCTCAAATCGACTTTCATAACTGTAGCTTCCTGTTTGTGCAAAAGGTGGAAGAGCAATTTCATGCCCCAA